TTTAAGATTCTATCAATCAGGGTGATTTTCATCCCTCTTTAAAGGGGCTTTGTGCCCTCAACGTTAACGTGAATCACAAAATCACTACACCAACCATAATTCAAAAAAAAGAATACCATTCAGCAATATTGTGAACTATAGTCGACTATGGGGTTCTAGGTCCTAGGTATGAGATAATTAAATGTGTCAATTAGACAACCTAATATCCAGGTTAAACAAGTTTCCATAAATTTTAAGATTCATTAACTTACATATATATTTTTTTTTCTTGAAAAGAAACTTATTAATTACATTGATACTCTACTTTAAGTGTCTACCATTAAATAGGTACTGGTTATTTAACATATTTATTTCATAGGTACTCCTATTTTAAATTGGCTATATATATTTTGTGATTACAATGTGACTTGAATAACCATCAACTAATTATTGACAAATAGAATTTTATTCAATCGAAGATTGAAGTGTTGTTTTAATTATTATTGTTCCACTCTCACCAATTATTAATTTTGCAGATATTCTCTAAGTTTGGTTTCGCAATTTAAACCATATCAATTAAAAATTGCGTGGCGCCCTTTTAGTAATATATACTTAGGTGTATATTGAATTTTAAATATTTGAGTAAATAATTAAAAACTTCATTAAAAATTAAAACTTTGATTTTGAACTCCGACCCATCTGCTCTCCAGATGAAAAGCAGCCGTTCGCTGTGTACCAAAAGATAAAAAGTGCTACACACATTCTTTTAAAAAAACACTGTAATGTGACACCAATTGAACATTTTTCATATGGCCTTATTAGGAACATGTTACATTGAAAAAAAAAAAAAGTCTGTAACTAGGAGTCTAGCAAAGCTATTATTCTGTACTTACTCTGTAGCTTTCTCAATATACAAATGTTCGTGTAAAAATTACATTCGCTCCATTGACTTTATAAACATGCGTATAAACTGATTGGTTTCCAGCCTTAAAGTTATAACGTGACATATGAAATATGTGGTTTGCCATTTTTCGACATATGAGAAGTTGCTAGGAGCCCTTGCAATAATTTTTAATTTGCATTATAGATTTCTTTTTTAATAATATTGTAATTTTTGAAAATGGGATTCAATATTAAGCAATAAAGGGCACTGACCTTATTAGGTACATGGCCTTATTTGGGTCAGGTACCTTATATTTATTTGGTGAAGTCTGTTTTTTTTTTAAAGATTATTCCCCAAGTCAAAAATTTAGTAATATCCGTTCACAATCCGATGTCCACAGGTACAGGTAAAAATTATCAACTTTCAATGCTATTTGATAGGGAAAGGTGATAAATTTACCTGTACCTGTGGACATCGGATTGTGAACAGGATATATATTGGCAACACAAGCCTTTTCTACATAAAAATTTGAAAGCATTGACAATTTTATATTGTATTGCCAACATAATGTCATTTTGACTTTTATCTTTAAAAAAAAAACAGACTTTACCCTATTATTCAAGGACATTTGCTATTGTTAGATTCCATATTTCCCAGGATATGTTTCTTGCGCCCTGATTGGCTCATTTATAAATCAGGTGAGTCGGCGCACCTAGTGCACCAATCAAAACTGCACGATCTTGTTGTCGTCGCGGAGCAGGTGGCGTAGTAAAGAATTTGCTCTAATTTCTATTTAAACAAGTGAAAGTAGTTGCCATTAGACCTTGAAAGGGATCATTGCTCCTGACGCGGTACGGCCGCATGCTTCTTTCTAATCTCTCTTCTCTAACGTTCTAAAAAATAGTCGGGGATAATACCACGAGAGCTTCAAAATTACTCATGCGTGTTTTCTCTGCAAATTTCACTCGTCCTACGGACTCGTGAAATTATAGAAAACACGCAATCGTGAAAAATTATCTGGTTCATTTTAAAGCTCAAGTGGTATTTAGAGGATTATTTCACGTATGAGAATGCAAAAAAATATGGAAATAAATATGTATTAAACGATTTGAACATCTTAACAATCAATACAAATAAATGGTTGCTATCAGAAACCGTTTGTTTGTATCAAAAATTAGCATGACAACCATGTATACAATAACATGGGAGAATTATCGCTGTAATTCTCTCTAGTTAAACAAATGGAAAAGAGAATTTTCGAATGTAATACCACAAGAGGTTTCAGGATTACCGGATAATACTTTTACCTGTCACGAAACACGTTACGCAGCAACACCACGACTCCGAAGGAGGAGTGGTGTTGCTGGTAACGCGTTGTGTGTCAGGTAAAAGTATTAGGTAATCCTGAAACATCGAGTGGTATTCAAAAGGTTATACGACGAACGAACAAACTAAAGTTTAATACTTGAAAATTAAAAAAAAAAAATTATAATAGAATTTGCCATAAATGCCAGCAAGCGCGATAATCCCAAAAGGCTTATCACTTCTTAAGCCTCCCGTGTTATATGGGAATAATGTACAGTGAGTTGTATAATCGCTGTAATTCTGAAAATCGTCACTTGTCTTATGGGATTTCTAACACATGAGTGGAATAATCGAGAAAATCGAAATAAAATTACCAGTGAACTCTGGGCTGTTATTCCAGTTTCATCTATGTAAACTTTGCCTGTGATTTATGATTGTGAAGCAATAGATGGTGTTTCGACTTTCATTCTCTTCCCTTTCTAATTATTAATACAGTCCACGAAAAACAAACAAAAACTTTCTTTTTTCTAGTAGGGGTATCCTGTTGCCCCTACAGTAGTTTCATCTAGCTAATTACAGAGATTTGGTTTTTAATTTTTTTCTCGATAAGGATCGGTAATTCGAAAAAACTACAAGAGAACAAAAAGTTTCTAAATAAAGTAGAAAAATAATTTAGTTCCTCAGAATCTACCCGCGGCGCAAAGAAGTTCAAGGGCAGAAAAGGATATATGACCCCTGAAAAAACATCACCCTGTAAATTCTGGCAAACGTTTGAAATGTGCAATCATTCAGCTCCTATTGCGTAACCCTTATTCCAAATTTCAGCTAAATCCCTCAAAAATTGCAGGAGCTATAAAGAAAAAGCTGAAAAACTATTGAAATTTCAACACCCTGTAGCTCGGTAACGAAGCATTTGCGGACCTATTTTTACTAGAAATTTTAGTCATAAAATAAACCAAAGAATCACTCCTTTCAGTTTGGACCGTGACTTATGGGACACCCTGTATATATCGTAAATATAAGCTTATATTAAACTAGCGGATATACCCGGCGTGTGCTACTACGCTAAAAAAATAAGTACATCTTGTTTATTTGTTGAGAAAAGCAATTTTTAAAAGACGGGGGTAGTCTTGACAACCTGCCCACCCCTTCACCTGTCACATTTGACAGTTGGAATCTGTCAATTCTCTTCAACGTCTCATGGCGTTTCCGATTTTGAACACCTGGCAGGCATATGATGCCCTTTTGTCATATTTTGACAGCTGACATCTGTCAAAAATTATATTTGACCAGTTGACACCTGTCATTAGTGGTCTAAAATGTATTATCACCCGAACTTGAAGTGTATGCAAAATTTCAGCAAAATCGGCTGCGAAGAAATGGTTCAAAAATCTGCACCTGTTACAATTTGACAGTTGACACTTGTCATTAGTGGTCTAAAACATTCTTCTCATTCAACTCCGAGATAATAGGGGTGGTAAGTTTTAAAATGAACAACATGTATAGCATGTATTTATCTTGTTTTCCCTTCCTCATAAGTTCATTCCTCTGAAAGTCTTTTTTTATGGAAAAAGGACATGCAACGTTGTCAGATTTTGAGTTTTTTCTGCGAAAAAGATTTTAATAGGATATTTCCGACAAGTATCAAAATTTTGTCAACATGTTATACATCAGTTAAAAGACCTTTCCAGGTACTATCGTATAACATAAAAATCCAAAATGGCGGCTATAAGACAAATTCAAGTTGCTTCTATTCTAGTATTATAAAAATAGAAGATTATCGATGATTTCAAACATTATCAAAAAATTTTGACAGATGTCAAATCCATAGTTTTTGAGACATGAACAAAAATTAAATTCGACAATAATCAGTTTTTTTCAATTATTTCAAAAACAAATAATTTTCATTAAAATTCAAAAGCAGATTCTGAAGCGGTATGAAATTCTCTAAAACTTTTCCGATTCAACTGACTGTCTATCTGTTATAATAACCGAAATCCCATTGGTGAGGACCTAAATTGGGACACACTGTATGTCTTTATACATTTATCAATAGGCCGGCATACACACACGTTTTTTCACGCGATTTATCATGGCATATTGGTATGTGGCGGTTAGCATGCGCGAAAGAACGGCGTGGCAAGAAAAACGTCATGTTCCATACACTTGACAAAGTATTCAAATGATTTAGCATGTGATTACGCGGGGCATATCAGTTTCAAAGGAAAAATCGTATGTGTGTAGGCAAAAAGTGTCATTTATCGTGTCATTTGAAAGTGCATGTGGCCATGTACTAATTTTCAACGTGATAGTTTTCGACGCGGCGTTCATGTTTTCGTACTAGCCTCAAAGCTGTGACGTGGAATGGCGTGTGGACACGGGTGTGAGCTGCACTGTCATGTACTTGAGTAACGCCACATTCCAGATGAAAGCACGTGTGAAATCCCTTCCCATTTTATCATTGCCTGCAGGCCTCCTCACTTACGCACATGATTTTTCACAGGTTTTTGCAAATGACACGATAAACCGCGCGAAATAACGTGTGTGTATGCCGGCCTAATAAGATTAATAAGAACGTGGAACAAAATTTATTATAACAACTTTAACTGACCTCTCTATCTTCCAGAGATTTATCTGTTATTATGTATGCATTGTAGAGCACGAAAATGTTCCCACCAGATTCTCTCAGGTGTTAGGTGATAAAATAATACATTATAATCACCTGAGTGGGAAGTTTTCTGTGTCCCACCATGTATTAAGCCTTGCCGCAATCTGAGTTGCCACAGCAGTATTTCAAAACCAAAGCTTACCTGTGTTTATCTATAAATTTCAGAAACTACGCGTGTCGCATCGAAATTAATTTAGACCAGCAACTGTCAAACACAAATGCCACTCATTGTTCAAATTTATGTCAAAATTGGTGCAAAATGTTTTCCGCTGCTCTTAGAATCACCGTATTACCGTTGACCAAAGGACGGCTTAGCAGCCATGTCTTACCAGCAATTGGAACGACATCAGCCAGATTTTCTGGAAAAGCTCCTGGCTGCTTGAGTAAATCCAATAAATCCAAATCCTCCGGATCCCAGAATAAACCCAGAATAGCAGTTATCGGAGCTTGCGGAGGGATTGGTCAACCTCTGGCGTTGCTATTGAAGCTGAATCCCAGCATTGGAGAGTTGATACTTGTTGATAAGGACAACATGGCAGGTAAAAGATCAGCCTTGAATAAAGTAATTTTGTTTCATTTCAAATAAATATTTAAGGCGTGGCAGCAGACCTATCCCACATAGAAACCCCAGCCAAGGTCAGTCACTTCACCACGCAAAATCCTGGTGACGCTCTCAAAGGCGGTGTCGACATTATAGTGCTTCCTGCAGGAGTACCAAGAAAACCTGGCATGAAACGTTCAGATCTATTCGTGTCCAACGCTAAAGTAGTTTACGATACTGCAAAGGCTATGGGAGAACATTCACCCGATTCGATTTTATTGATAATAACTAATCCGGTCAATTCTGTCGTACCGGTAGCGTGTGAAGTGCTCAAGAACCAAGGCAAGTTGAACCCCAAGAAAATTTTCGGAGCGTCTACTTTGGATTCGGTGAGGGCAGCAACGTTTATTGGAGAAATTACTAACACTGATCCCAGAGAAGTCGTTGTGCCGCTTATTGGAGGTCATTCTGGGACGACTATCATACCTTTGTTGTCCAGGTAAGATGGTATTTTATTATGAGACATATGCAATGACATATTCACACAGATAGACATTACAGTAAACAAAATTTTGTGTCGCCAACATCTAGGAGAGCAATCCACCACCAGTATATCCCCTACAATTTGGTTGCCAAATTATTACGGATTAATATTTTATCCTGTTATGACTTTGCTTCAAAAAGTTGGAGCTTCGAGACTGAAAACGACTACTGGCAACGGCGGTTTGTAAAGCAGGCGGAACACACGCTGCAATTGATTTGCATGTCAACGCGTCCATCGAACTTATATCATATGAGTGAGAGGCAGATATATAGATAAACGAGTTGACATTTCTACATTATTTTTGTCAAGTGAATGACGGGTTCAGAGGGAAAGAGGCGTGTGTTGTTTATACCTCTTTATACCATTGATGAACCCCTACCATGACCCCCCTCGAGCAGCGCACCTCTCCTGGTCCATGGGGTGTCTTGTCATCACAACAAGCATCAATTTATGTATGAGATGCTCTGTCTATCTGTCTTAAGATGTCATTGGATATATGCACAATTACAATGTTCCACTTTAATGTGTTAACCAACTTGCAAGACGTGTCCGACTTTGCTCGAACTAGTTTGTTGTTTCTAGACCTGAATTAATTCATATATTATTTGGGCTAAATACTAAATCATAATTTTTTGAAGTCCCATTCGATGCTAATTATTTAAATTATTGTAGATCTCATCCATCAGTGACCCTGGAAGGGGAAAAACGAGACGAGTTTGTGAAGAAACTGCAAAACGCTGGCACTGCAGTTGTCCAAGCTAAAGCTGGAAAAGGGTCTGCTACTTTGGCAATGGCTTATGCTGGTTCAAGGCTGTGTTTTGGTATTATTCGAGCTATGCAAGGAGAATCAAATGTTGTTGGTAAGGAGTTTTTTGAAAAATTGACCTTGTTATTACCCTGTTGGTAAACACATTCTTCACAAGAATATCAGACTCCAGGAAATTTAAAAAACCTGTTATTGCCAATTTTTAATACGCAGTGAACATTTAAATTTCAATCGAAAATGAAAATTCCCTAAAACGAGAATTATGATAAATCGATTTATTTTGGGAATTTATGGCGGCTTACTAATAAGCTAAAATCTAAAGAAATAAAATGTCTTCCCTAGGTATGTCTATAAATTTTTTTAAATATTCGGTGATGGTAGAGATCGAGGTGAAAATTCATCTCCAAATCAAAGCACTGACAGGGACTTTACAATAAAATTGTTCAATGGGTATTTAAAATAAATAATAATAATTATTATTATTAATATTTCAGAATCAGCTTATGTTGTCAGTGACATCTACCCCGAACTTAAATACTTGGCTACGCCGTTATTGTTGGGTAAAAATGGGATCGAGAAAAATTTGGGATTGGGCAAAATGAACGATTATGAGACAGACTTGTTCTGTAAAGCCGTTCCACAAATGAAAAAAGATGTCGCATTGGGAGAGAAATACGTGAAAGAGCAAGGTGGAGGAAAATCGATATGCTAAAGTTTCTAATCTTTTTTTGTTTTGTTTTGTAAATTCCCTGTTTGAGAAACTTGCTAATAAAATTTGTCAAAAGTGTTACTATTATTCTTATTATTTAGGGAGAAGAAACAAGTCTCTTGACATCAATTTATTCCGTTGTAACGTTTATTAAACAATTACACATCAAAACGTAACCTATCAGTACTAAAACCCGATTCAATGAACTATAACCAAAAACTGGAATGCTAACACATAAGGACGAACTTGAAGCCTAGTGCGGCTGCTGCGGAGGGGATACCTATTTTTGTCGCACTCATTATGTTAAATGGCGAAAATTGCTTCCAACACGTATTCCAATTGATGAAACCTGTGAAGGGAAATATGACAAAACTTTCGAAAACGTCATATGTCAGCGAGCAACAGAAAAAAACAACATTCCCCTTTGTGGCATCTGTCACAGAACATATCACCTATAGAAAAATATCTCAAATGGAAGAATCGCGACAAAGGTTTTTAGTTAGGTTTTCATTCAACGATGGCGACACTGTCGGGAGATAAGAGAAATTTACAGGTATCTGTGGCGTGGACAGTGATTTGTGTTGGTTGGTTTTGTCATTTATTTTGTCATTTTAAAAGTCAAAATTTGAATTTTTAAATTGTGTTGTTGAACCGCGCGGTAAAGTGAAAATTCAAAAAGTTTTGGTTGAAAAAAAACCTAATTTTTGTTCGTATTTTTTTGTATTTATTCGTTTGTTTCGTTTCGTTCGTATTTGTATTTATTATTCGTATTTACTTTGCGATCTACCTATAACTGCGTGACTCTTGCTAACTTACTAACTCTTTTTGCACTATGTTCGACATCGGAAACTTCCTGCCAGTCATAGTTTTTAGAAAAGTGAGGCGAAAAGAGCTAAGAGGAGTCAGCAAGCCAAATGCAGTTGAACATTAAAAATTATACAAAAATAATAAAAATATATGAAAAAAATCAATTCGCCTTTTTGTCAAGAATACTCGATTAGTTGGGTTTTCAGTCAACGAGGGCGCCGTAATTCATAACCGGTACATACCATTGCAGATACTTTTCTAGAGGTGATATGTTCTGTGGCATCTGTCTTTCATGGCTACATTTTTTTGGCAGATATGGCAATGTGTGCGCATTCCAGTTTTTAGCTATAGTTCATTGACCCGATTAATAATTATTAAGTCTCGATTTACATTAAAGTTGAAGTTAAAAAGTCCCGATTGACAATCTTGTTCGGAGAATGATTCAAGAATGATCTCTGAGGAAAAATCTAGAAAATAAAATATAATATGGAAACTTAATAACTATGCTGAGTAAGTGTCCATTTATCCAAATTGGAACATTTAATTTTATATTTTCACCACACTGTACATATTAGAATTAATTAATTATAAGCAACCTACTTTTTATTATTGCAAATGACGATCATCGATATGTGCAAAATCAGCATTTATTGTATATCACCATTGGCCTAGCAACGCTAGTAGAGTCGTGAAACTGCGCACAAACAATTGAACTATCCAAGCTGTCAAACTTGAATTAAAATGACCGCCAAGAGGCACACAAACCCTTTTTTTATGTGTCATTCAATCAGCCGTATGAATAAAAATAGAGCATTTGCTTCTAAGCAAAAGGTAGAAGTATAAGCAAAAGCTTCGAGTAAAAGGTAGAAGTAGAAGCATTCACTTCATATCATATGAATAATGAAGACCTTTTACATGCGAGCATATGCTTCAAAGAAATGAAGTGAAAGATATTAATTACCTGTTGTACCTGTTACTTGAATCTAAGGCTCGAATGCCAAAGTTAACCACCAGATCGATAACATCAATGGACTTTGACATTCGATGGGAAGTGGTTGTGAAAGAACGCCAATCATGGAAGAACGCCAATCTACCGCAAGCGGACAACACATCATTTTGGTACAAAGTCACACAGATGGGTCGGAGCTAACGAAAGGAGTCGGTCAGGGAATAAGTGGAACAAACTTAAAGGTTAAACTCTCATTAGCAATGGGTAAAACCTCCACAAAATTTTAAACTGATGTTTTGGCAATAAACATCTATGCCCATCAAGTTTGTCTTAAAAGAGGCCTTTCAAGAGAGCACATTTACATACTGTCCGACAGTCAAGCGGCTCTACAGGCTCTAGGAGCAATCAAGTGCAATTTTCAGCTACTTTGGGAAGGTAAAAATATCCTTAAACAACTGGCTGGTAGGAATAAAATAAAGAGGGTAACGAGGAGGCAGACCGTTCCACGAAGCAAGGCGCTTTAACACCTTTTCAAGGCCCAAAGCATTTTTGTGTACTAATGAAAAGTCACGTCTCCAAAGAAATCAACAGATGAAGAAGGTTCATATCTGGCAACTTCTTGACGGTGAACAGAAGAGACATTAAGCCACGTACAGACCGAATTTCCAACGTAGACCAACGCCAACGGCACATGTATTGTTCGTCGATTTTTAACTGATACTTGCGGTATGAGGAGCGAGGGGGTGTTTCATATGGCAAAAACAGGTGTGACGTCAGGTAACCATTGGCGTTCTAATGTAGGGAGCCACCAGCTCACATTCCGTCCGAGTATCAGATTAAAATCGACGAACAATACTGTCGTTGGCGTTGGAATTGGAGAGCAGTGGAAAGGATTTGAGAACATCGTCTACACTGCCGTACACACAAAAACCAACGCGTTCCAACATGGTTCACATGTGCCGTTGGCTAGTGTTGGAAATTCGGACTGTACGCGGCTTTAGAACAGAAAATTACCTGAAAACAATAGGAAAATCAGACAGCGATTACTGTAGATCTTGCGAACAAGCAACAAAAACTGCAGAACACTAAATCTGTGAATGCCCTTATCACTTCTGCAAAAGGCTGAAATATCTTGCCAACAACCCCTGAGGTGAGCACTTTACCACTTGCGTCTATATCTCAACGTGGCTCCTTCACTATGCGCGTGCGCATACTTTCCACAGAAGATTTTTAGGTTAGGTTTTCCTGTTTTGTTTTGATTTTGAACTTGTACTTTTTTAGTAAGTTTCGTAATATTTTCTACTGACCCTGAATTTTCTATCCACCCCGTTTAGGGTAAATTTTTTAGTTACATATCTGTTGATTCGTGTCGTAATGGAGGGAAACCGTGAAAACATTGAAAAAGGCTCGGAAATAAGTAAAAGTTATAAAAATCAGTAAGTCTAATGAGAAGTAAGTCCAGAAGAGAAGATGAATCCAAATTTTGTAGATATGTATATTATGTCCTCGCTCCTGTACTTGGTGTTCCAAAAAATTTTCAAAGCAGGGCAATTTAAGCATGATTCGTTGTGGCTGGAAGGAAAAAAACACTATTGTGCCCTTTGTGTAACAGATCGTTTGGGTTCTACACTGCATTGGACACGCATTTAGAGTCGAGAGTCCCCGCACCAGATAATCCAAGCTTCCTACAAAAAATGATTTCTTTGTCGGCGATGCCCGGATAAACAAAATCAAAAAATTGATGCTCTTGGACTAAATTTATTCTCAACTCTTTATGTGTAGAGTTTTTGCAGCGGTTTTTGTTTATCCGGGCATCGCCGACAAAGAAATCATTTTTTGCAGGAATCTCGATTATCTGTGGCGGGGACTATAGATATACTTTCTTTTTTATTTTATGTGCAATTTCATTTTTTCTGTGTCAAAATAAATTTTTCACCCAAATATATTCCTTTGTGTTTTAATTATTACAGATATATGTAAATAGTTAAGGGCTAGATTGGATTTCTTGTGCTAATTTTTTGCTAACTAAAAAATTATCCCAAACGGGGTGGATAGAAATTTTAGGGTCAGTAGAAACAAAATTAGGAAATTTTAAAAAAAAAAATCAAAACAAAACAAGAAAACCTACCCAAAAAATCTTCTGTGGTAAGTAGGCGCACGCGCACACTGAAGGAGCCACGTTGAGATATAGACGCAAGTGCACTTTACCACCCAGGAAGCTGGCCTCCTTTGGTAGGAGCCTACAAATCTTGGACACTGAAGCGGCCGGAACAAGCTGTGACGACTCGTAATGCAATCTACAATCTATAAAAAAATGGGAAATAAAAATATTCGAAAATAATTTACAAAAATGGTAAACATACATCTACTCTGGAGCAGATGCATTTTGCAAGGAGTAAATGCTCCCAATTTGAAGCAAATACTCTCTTTTATTCATAATAAAAAGAGTATTTGCTTTTTCCTGGAGCATTTGCTTCCAACTTTCAAGTATAAGGTTTTGCTTGAAATTTTATTCATACTGGATGAAGCATTTGCTTCAGATTTTGCAAGAAAAAGCAAATGCTCTTTTTTATTCATACAGCCGAATGTTAGGGCAAGTAAATAAACTTATGTATATTTCTCCAATATATCGTTGCCGTTGACCAGCTGAAAACAAGTGACGGAGAATTTTGTTCGTCGCCAAGGAAAGATTGTTTAATTATTGTCACATTGTCAAATTATTAATATATTTTGTAATTTTGTATTGAAAATTCAATTCAACGATCAGTTTCATTTATACAGTCCACTGTTGGAGCTAACATTTTGGTCCTATCGACACGGATACGTATTGTTTTCTCCAGTCAATTTTCGCAGTCAAGGCGGGGAAGGGCCAAGGCGGTCATTGTTCTATCTGTTCCTGTTGGCATTGGCTCAGTTAAATGGTTCAACCGGGTGACGTTGGTGTAGCAATGACCTTAGGCCAATACAGGGAGTTCCAGTCTGGAATATTAGTCGACAAAGTGTTATAAGTCCGTTCTATTAATTATTACAGCATAGATAATTGGCAATTCATTTGGTTTTGTGTTGTCTTTGAGATCTGGTAAGTAAGTACTGGAATCATTTATTGCGCAGTTGTTGCCTTTTATATTTTTCAGCTTTGAATATTATGGTTATTATGGCGGATTTACGCAAATTGAAATTGAAAAGAGGTACTCTGAAAGGTAATTTAACTAGAATAAAAGGGTTTCTCGATAAACTTGATTTAGAAAAGCTATCCGAATTAGACTTGATTCAAATCGAAACTCGGCTAGAAAATGTTGAACCTCTTTTATCTCAGTTTAAT